CTGAAGACTCACCATGTTTCCCCATGAATGTCTGCAGGAAAATTCCCAGGCTTTGACTGCAGCAGGAAGGTGTCACTGTTATCAAGTCAGGCCTTCTCTGGAAGGGGGGCAATCACATGGGATAGACCACGTTGTGAACAATCAGCAGGATCAGCAACAATTCATTTTGCTCAGTTCAAAGAAAATCTTCTCATTACAACAATGATATTGCCTTCTTTGGGGGGAGAAGGGGATGGTGGGGTTGGAGAGGAGAAAAACAAAGTAGCATTCACTAATAATCCCAAGGAAACTCCTAATCTGTCTCTCCAACCATAACTCAGCCCTGGTTCCTGGAGGAACTGGTACTGTGAAATGCATACCACCTGGATCAGAGCCTCATTCCATTGAGTACTTTGAGCTCAGTCTTTCTACTATCCCTCTTCTATTCAACTGGAACTTCATCCCTAGATAGAAACATCCTCCCCTCTCCCCCATCAGTTCAGCTATCATCTCAATTATCTTTCAGATTCAGAGGAGTTTCTCGGGTTGCCTTCCAGGCCTAACAACTACAGTGACCTTCACAGGCAATCCGAGGGCAAACAATACAGTTGAGTTTAATCAACTGGGAGGAGAGGAGCTCTTGGTCTTGCTGAATTTAAAAGCAATGCTTCAGTTAATTATAATTTCACCCTTGGCATGTACAAAAGCCAGAATGATGAGAGAAAAACAAATAAACTAGAAATTTGGATTTCTTTCTGGCTGGAGAGTATCCCCACTCATCCCCCTTTAATACCATCCAAATGGTATTAAATAGAGAGGATTTTTTGTCTGAAAGTAAAAAACCAAAAACCAAAACCAAACCAAACCAACAACAACAAAGCCCTACGGAAAAATATCAGCTTGTATGTCTGTGAAAGTTTCTGCAGCAACTGTCACCAGCAAATGTAATCAGGCAGACCCCAAATCAAAGGTGAAATGCAAACCAGAGCACAAGCTCCACTGAGCTAAATGCTGGCTGGAACTGCTGAAAATCAGTACTGCAGCAGGAATCATGGACAGGAATCTGGCTGTGCAGAGGGAACAGCAGCAGCACAAGCTCTGCAAGCAAAATTCAAAATGTAGATGGACTCAGAAGGAAACATCATCCCTGCCAACATACAAAACAGGGGGATTCACTTAACAAGGGCAAAGAACCAGAAGAGACCAAAGACAAGAGATCAGAGGTTGCTGTGCTATTACTGAACTTCAGAGGTAAGTGAGGTACCCTGGATTTGGCCCCAGCCACACACCTGGGCTGGGCTCTGTGAGCCAGGAAGCAAGGACCTTTTGCACTGATGCTGGACTCGATCAGAGAGCAGCTCAGACCCAATTTCATTTCTGCTTTACCTGGCACTGCTTGTCCTCTGGGAGCCACCAAGTCTGTGCTGCCTGCGAACTCTCCTGGCCTGCGGGCGCTGCGTGAGCTGCAGCACGGGCAGCGGCTGCTGCTGCTCCAACGCCCCTTGCAGCCTCTGCAGCCCACGGGGGGCCCTGGCAGGACTCGTCTGCAGGTCAGGCTCTGCAGCTGCTTCCCCTGCAGCAGCGTCGGGTGTGGCATCAGCATGGTCAGCAGGAAGGGCTGCAGCGCTGCCTCCTCCTTCCCCCAGCACAGGAATGTGGGAGGAGAGCACCGTGGGACCAGAGGGCTCCGGGGCAAACGTCTGGAGGGTCTCCACTGAGTAACCAGCCACTGGTTGGAGATCAACTTCCATCTCTTCTTGAGCCATTTCTGCAAGGAGTTGAAGAAAACTAGTATTTACTTCTAAGTGTACCCTACTTGTAGCCTGACGGTAGCAAGAGCCAGGTACAGCACTCAATGACTAAAAATGTTTTTAGAATTCAGAGTCAAGAGAAAATTTGTCCTTTGCAGCAGAGCTAAACCACAAGTCAATACTCACGTGTGAGCTGGGAGCACCCTCCCAGAGTCCTGGGCTCAAAGTCCTTGGCTCAACAGCAGCTAGCACCAAAGGCACATTGCAAAATCAACTTAAATAAGCACTTGGATGAGTATGTAAAGTTAACGTTTTCTTGCTGCCCTCATTTACTTGCCAAGTAAATTCATGTGGATCTTGAAGAACAGTTGGAAACATCTGAGATTCTCCAGGTGAGCAGCACTGCACAAGCACCCACAGATACAGCCAGAAACAAGCTCTGTGACACAGCCCTTTGCTGCACTGCTCTCCTGACTGATGTCCAAGTTTCTTCAGATAAAATTGCCTTATTGTAACAGATCACTGTGACCCTTACCACAGTGCACTGAACAGCCCTTGAGGTATTTACAAACACCAGGTAAAAACCAGAAAGGGCATGACAGCAGAACATGTGACTGAAACATTACTGGTACCAAATTATCTGCAGCATCAGCAATTGTGGATCCATATTTAGCCCAAGATTGCATAAACATGAAATTTGCAGTAAGACTGCAAATATATTTTGCAGTCTTAAAGGATGATTACCCTTCTACATCTTTGCCATATGGATTTCAGGTCACCTCCAGAACAGGAGTACTACCTTAGGGTTTGAAGAAAAACAGAGACAACAGTTTGTGCATTATTAATTCTCGTGCTGCTGTCAGCCACCAAATTAAGAGCACTTTGGCCATGCTGTTGTGTTTACAGCACAAAAAAGTTCAAGATTATCTCATTAATTGAATGAACAGATTCACCAAAAACTCAAAAGTCCTTTATTGGAAAAGGTGTGTAGATTAAATTCTGCAAGGTGCTGGAAATCATTCACATTCTCCAAAAAGTAATTAAGCAATCATTGAAAAGCCTGGGGAACTGCAGACCTTTAGCACTATTCAGAAGCCCAAAGCACAAACACCAGTTCTACCAAGCTGGCAAAATTCACCCAGCTAGGGCTGTATAAAGAGAACAAATGTTGGCTGTGTATAAAAAGTAGCTAAAAGATGTATACAAGAATTAATAAAAGAGATTGTACTAAGGCTCAAATATTTTCATAGATATTTTAAGGAAGTCTAACTTACGAATTTCATCATTCTTATCCTGATTGCCAATTCAGCCTAAGCTGGGTCAAAAATAGATGCTACCACCTCCCACCAGAAGAGCTGCATGGCCAAGATATGGTCGTATTCAACAGTCAAGTATTGCATCTCTAGTACTGTGTTCATGTTCATGATAGAATTGCCACCCAAAAGTACAATAAACCCTTTATTTTCACCACATAGAATCACGATGTTAAGAGGTTAATAAAGGCACAGTCCCGGCCCCTGCCAAGGGCAGGGACATCTCCCACCGGGCCCTATCCAGCTCCTGGCCTGGAGCACTCCCAGGGCTGGGACATCCACAACCTCCCCGGGCAACACGTTCCATCGCCTGCATTAACCGTAAGATTTATAAAAACGTCAATACCGGCATTTTCACGGTTAAATCTCGGAATCTGCCCCCAAGGATTATCAGCGAGGCCTTCCTCCCGCCGGGCAGCCGGGAACAGGAGGCTCTCCAGCAGCGGCCTGCCTGGGCCCAGGGAGGAGCCCCGGAGCGCCGCGCCGAGCGCTCGGGGCTGGGGCAGCAGCCTCCCCTGCGGAGCGCACCCGGCCCGGCTCCCGCCGCTCCTGCTTCAGCAGGGAACCAACAGAAACACACGAAACGCGCGCTCCACAAGCGGGGATTCTCCGCCGCCTCCTTCGCAGAGCTCGCAGATTTTAAAGACGAGCCCGTCACAAAAAGGGCACGGGAGAAGGATACACCACCTCCGGCAGCCGCAGGCAGCCCGAGCGCTCGGGGAAACGAGCCATGCTGGGGAACTCGGCCGGGCCTGGGGATGGAGCTGTGCCGGGACCCCGGAACGGAACCACCCGCCCGGCCCCGGGGGATGGAGCTGTGCCGGGACCCCGGCCCGGATGGCCCGCCCGGCCCCGGGGGATGGAGCAGTGCCGGGATCGCCTCCCGGCCCAGCCGCCCCTCGCTCACCTCCGCCGGGCCCAGCCGCCCGCTCGAGCGCCGCGCCGCCCCGCCCCCGCCGCCCTATTGGATGGCTGTGACCCCCGCGCCGGTCGCCATTGGGCGAGTCGTAGCCGTTTCCGCCTTCTCATTGGCCATTCGCTCTGTCCGTCTGTTCAACTGAACTGGGAGTGACTGGACGAGAGGCAGGGAGGTGCTGCGTGCTCTGATTGGTCAAAGCGCGGCAGTGAAAGCTGGCTGATTGGGCAACGAGAGCTCTGACGGTATAGGGGGCGGGGCAAGAGCAGGGGAGCGAGTTTTCATTGGCGGAGACGCCGCGTGGCGAAAAGAGCGGGAACACAGTTCATTCAAACCGGGGAGGGGGCGGGACCCGGGAGAACCGGGCGAGCTGGGGGGGATCCGGGGAGAACCAGGGAGAGCCCCGAGGTGAGCCGAGCGGAACCGCAAAGGATTTGGGGGAAGCGGGGGGCCCGGGGAAGGCGGAGGTGGCCCCAGGGTAGCCCGTGGGCAGCGGCGGGGCAGAGGAGAAGCGCAGGCTGGGTCAGGTTGGAAGGGAGCGCGGTGAGTCCTGTGATCCCAGCTCCCTGCTCAGGCAGGATTGTCCTAGAGCGCTTTCACAGGATTGCATCCAGGCGTTTCTGGAGTATCGCCGGTGAGGAGAACTCCACAGCCTCTCTGGCAATGTTCCAGTGTGTGATCACCCACACAGGAAAGGAGTTCTTCCTCCTATTCCAGTGCGAGCTCCTGTGTATCATTTTCTGCCCCTCGGCTCGTGTCCTGTTGCCGGGCTCCCCCAGCAGAGCCCGCTCCCTCCTCTGCAGCCTCTCTTCAAACGGGGACAGCGCTGACGGGGTCCCCTCTCGGCCGTCTCTTCTCGGGGCTGAACAGGCTCAACCCCTCAGTCATTTCTCGTAAAAGAAGCCGTGTTCCATCCCTCTGCTCCCCCTAGGCTTCTTGACAGCCTCTCTTCTTGAGTCGCCTCTCTCCCCAGCTGCCTCCAGGGCTGCCCAGGCAGGCCCGAGGGTGTCGCACACAGAAACGGGCACAGGGGCACCGAGCCATCAGTCCCTGCCGGGGGGAACAGGCCGAGGGCACCTGGGCTTGCTGCCCCTGCTCACCCGGCCCCTCTTCCACAGTTAACTTCCTTGGTTTCTGCTTTTCTCCAGGTCAGCCAGCGAGTCCACAATCTCTGCAAAACACAAGGATGGCATTAGCCAACACCGAGGACTTGTTTGGATTCCTTTAACAGAGGAGGAGATGGCTTTCCCTCCCTGATGAGGGCTGGGACCTGGAGTCACCCTCAGGGATCAGCAGGGGACAGGCCTGAGCACACAGCCCAGCCCAAACTGAAGTAGCCGAGCTTGTGGAAACTCCCTTGTGAACAGCTGCAATAAACTGCCTTCAGCTCAGCAGCACACAGTGCTAGGTGTTGGATTAGGGTCATATTAGGGTAATAAACCATCCTGTTTCCTCAGAGTGACTTTGTCAACATCTCTAATGACATTTTGGCGTTTTCTCTTCAGCCAGGGCTATTCCCTGTGCCAGGGGGGTGCTGGTGGGAAATGGAAGCACAGAGATGTGACACTCAGTGGTTTGTTTGGGCACATTTCCCACATCTCTTGTATGGATCTGCTCCTGTAGGATGGAGTGGATGAAATTAAAGGAAGTTTTCTCCCCTCAGACAGATGAACCAAGGGGAAGGTATGACCTCTGTGACTTCCAACACACCAGAAATGTTCCTCTATAATTTCCTGATGTTGCTGTTGTATCTCCTGATGGAGCCCAGCTACTCGTCTGGTCAGACACAAACCAGCTTCAGAGACAGGGAAAACTTCCCTGTCATAGAGCAATGCCCAAGACTGCAATTTGCTGCTTAAAGCCCAAGGCAGGAAATGTTCCTGCAGAGTGTTGTGGCTGCTCCTCCAGCCTGTGGGATCTGCAGGACCTGAGCAGGGATTAACTCACAGACCCCTGCTTCCTGCCTCTGCTTTCTGATAGAAAAAGCTACTTTTGGTGACACCAAATAAACAAACAGTCTGGTGATTATTGTCATGGCATGGGTAAATAAATGTTAATGTGTGAGGTCTGGAACTGGGGGACTTGTTAGCATAAAAAGGAAGGTCAAGGCAGGATCCCAAAACACAAAGCCAGGCAAATTCTTATGGGAAAAAAGGGGCAAACTGCCTGCTGATGGAAGGATGCAAAGGGCCTGTGGAGCAGGTGCCTGGGACACTTACCCTCGGCAGAAGGGCGCTGGGAAGGGTCAAAGGCCTGGCACTGTTCAATGATTTTCCTCAGATCTTCAGGACAGTCTTCCCCAAGAGGGTCCCAGTGATGGTGATTGCAGATTTGCTCCACGATCTCCTCAGGAGTGCAGCCTGGACAGCAAATGCAAACAGGAGTGTCAGCACGGAGCTCTGCTGCCACAGGAGGGTGCTGGGGAGGAAACCCAGCACAAAGCCATGCCAAGAGCCTGCCTGCAGCCTTTGGCAGGGAGAAGCCAGCAGGGAAGTGACCCAAACTCCATTTGCAGTGAATCCCACCCAAATGTATTTGGCATGACGCTGTTCGGCTTCAGCAGAGCAAGATGTGTTTATGCTTAAATGCCCATGACCATGCGATAGAAACAAAAATTATTTGCATGTTTGTGGTTTAAGCAGGTTGCTTTACTGCAAGCTGTATTTTATTGGAGTTTCAGCAGAAGTTATGAAGCTGTCAGGCACACCAGGCACTGCCACTGGCACCTGCCTGGGATGCTCAGGGAAGGAGCAGGGAGCATCCAGTGCCAGACGGGAGCCACACTGTGCTGTGTGGCTTTTATGCAGGGAACCAGATACTTGTGTCTCACCTTCAAATGGGATTTTGGAGGTTGCAATCTCTGCCAGAACGATCCCAAAGCTGGAAGGAGACAAGCAAGAGTCTCAGTATTCATTCCACGTGTATTTCCCCCCTCCTAGTGGAGAGGACTGCTGGGCTGTGCCAACTGGAAGCATCTGCTGGTGTGTCCAATTAAACCTGGCCTCCTTCCATAGCTCAGCAGCTACTCTGCCAGACACCTTCCTGCTCACAGGCATCTCCTGGGAGGGACAGACACACCTGTATATTTCACAGGGCCTCTTGTAAGGGTAGTTGATGTCTTTCAGGTTCTCTGGAGCGATGTAGGCCAACATAGAGACTTGTTTCCAGTCCTTCTTGGCTTTCCTCTTGATGGATGATTCTGTTTCACACAGCTCAAATCCTGACAGCTGGTTGAGAGAATGAGAGAGAGAAAAGAAGTGGAAACCTGTGGTGCAGTTAGGAACTGCCCCAAGATGGAGAAAACACAGCGAGATGCCCTGGGCAGCAAAGGCTGGTGTGCAGCCGTGTGTGCTGCCCAGCACGAGTCTCTTCCTGCAAGCAAAACCAGAGGTGAAGGCAGGTGAATTGCCCCAGCTTCAGCTCATCCCAGGCTGGATGCTGTAGGAACACTCACTTTGCTGATGATTACACCAAACTAGGGAGGTTTAAGTGCCTGAAGTCATAGAGGAGATGCCACACTCCATTTTATCCTGGACCATCACAATTCCCTTCAGTATTGATACAGGGAGACATCCACAAAACTACTTAAAACTCCCAAAAGCATCTCCAAATGTGGTGCTTACCTTCACACAGTAATCCCCAGCCACCAGGAACTTGCTGCTGCAGATGCAGCCGTGGAGTCGGGACTTCTCCCCTGTCTGGTGCAACCTGCAGATGGATGGAACCCAGGGCAACACGTGATGATGATGATGATGATGGTGATGATGGACTGACCCATCCCCACCTTGGTGCTTCCTCCTGCCATGGAGGGAATGACTGACATGCAACCAGAGGAGCCAGCAGCTCTCTGCCTGTCTTGGTGCATCAAGCCTGCCAAGCCAACCTTTCCAGCAGGCTGGAAGAGCTGCTGTGGGCAAAGCAACAATCCTTGTGGATGAGCAGGACCTGTAAGAACTGCCAGGTGCAGGGTACTTCCAAATCTGACCTGGGGATATGGGGAAGGGGATTTCCCCCCTCCAGGCCTTTGCAGGCTTGGAGCCAGAGGCAGGGGACAGTGACCAGGGTAGATGGGAGCTACTGCATCCAAATCCACCACCCACCCCTACACCAGCTTCCAACCCAGTGTCCAAGGTGGGTCACTGGGAATCAGTGCCTAGCAAGACACCACAGCATGCCCTGAGATACCAGGAAGCTGCACTCAGCTTTTGGATGATAGGTGAAGTTGCTCACTGATTTACACAGGTGCTCACCTGTAGAGGCCTCTGGCAGCTCCCAGGGCCATCCGGATGCGGATATCCCAGGAAAGATGCTGCTGCTTGCTCAGCACGTCCCGCAGCGTCCCGTGCTTACAGTACTCCATGACGATGGAGAAGCAGGGGCTCCCATCTGCAAGGCAAAATCATCCTGCCTTGTGCCACCTCTTGGGAGGGGAGCACAACAAGGCACGTGCCACCAGCCAGCACTGGGGAGGAAAAGGGTGACATTAATGTGACACCCCTACCGTTCTCCTCAATGCAGATCCCGTACATGCGGAGGATGTTTGGAGACTCAAACTTCTTCAGGGTCTGAATCTCCTTCTCAAAGATGTCTCTCACCTTGCTGTGGAAATGGACAGCGTGGTGAGATCCCTGGAACAAGGCATGGCGTGGTGCTGTGCCACCCTCCTGGGGCCACACTCATTCCTACCCAGGACAACTCACACTGCGTCAGTGGTCAGAGGCCTCTTGAAGGTTTTGATGGCAACAGGGTACTTGAGGTACTCGCCCTCGTAGAGGTCGTAGCTCTCTGTGTCCTGCAGGTGCCTGTGGAAAGTGAGGTGGTCTCGCTTGATCTCAGTGATGTCTTCTCTTTTACCAACGTTGACCTTCTTCAAGCCTGCTCCCGCCATGTGCCAGAAGGGAACAAGGGACACATTAGGCAGGGCTTGGGGGGAAGGGATGCAGTGCACAGGGTGCAGGTGGTGTGACATTGGCTTACGCTCCATCTCACGGATGACTTTGTTCAGCTCGCTTTTCATCCAGTCCATCTTGCTCTCCATACACTCCCTGTCGATGTAGATCTCCTCAAGCGCATCTTTGGGCTCCTCAGTACCTAGGGACAGAAACAAGCAGAGGTTGGGCCACTGGATGAACAAGCATGACTGTGTGGTTTGTTTTTTTCATGGTTTAAACATCCCTTTGGCTCTTCATGGCCGTGGCCATCAAGCCAGGACTAGGTAACAGCTGGAGAGAGGGGCCAACCACGACTCGCAGGGAAGGGGGCTTCGCTAAATGCACTCACTTGCAATCACCTGGTCCAAGAAAGCTCTGTCATCCCTCAGGTCCTCAGCATCCTGCCTGCGACACGTCTTTGACTGGAAAGCTTCCAGGAAAGCCTGCTTCTGCTCTGCCTGCAGCAGGAGCGAGAGCCCCTGGGCAATGTCCTCCAGGCTTTCATTCACCCAGACAAACTCCTCACCAGTACTTCGGGCTCGCAGGAACTTCTGGATCCAGCTGGTCTGGCTGTATTTCATCACCAGTTTCTGGGCTTCCTCCAGTGCCTGGAGCAGCTTTTTCATCAGTTCCTCTTCGTGGTGGGAGATGTGCTGTCGTGGCTGAGCCCTAAGGATCCTCACGGGCTCCAGCAGAATCTGGATGCGCTCCACGAGGCGCTGGCACTGATGCTTACAGCACTTCACCTGCTCAAATTGGGCATGGATGGCCTGGGCCACAGAGAGGACTCTCTCCACGATGTCCATGCTTGCAGCAAAGGGCTTGGCCACGGGGGGTGTGGGCTGGCGGTGTCTGGTGCAGGTGAGCCTCAGGCGCTGCTCAGAGATCAGCCAGATGCAGCTCTTCCACCCTGTGGAACACCCTGATATGGCACACATCCTCCCAGCCCCTCACCTCTCCAGCCGCTTTGCTTTCCCTGCTTTGCCGGCCACTGCAGCTGCTCGTGCAGATTGCAGCAGGCACACGCAGAGACATCGGTAGCAGCGGTAGGGGCACATCTTTCTCTGCAGTAGCAAGAGATGTTTTGGCTTGATTTATGTACGTTAATTTAGTGTGAGCCATCCCAGAGAGCTTCCACCCAGAGGAGCAGGGACACCAGTGGCCCAAGGAGCATTCCCTGGGCAGCATTCCTGGCTCCAGCCCCGCATCACCCTGGGTTCCTTCCTGCAGAGCCCATATTTTTGGCTGTAAAGATCTATTTTCATTTCTACCCAATGTCTCTCTCTGTAGTCACCCATCTAATAAAGGCTTGCACATCTTCACAGCCCCAGCATCCCCAGCTTCTCCCCATTTTCTCCCCATGGCTCTGTCCTGCCCACTTAAGATTTTGGTTTTAAATCAAGCTCTTTCTGTGCGCTCAGCATCCCCACAAGGATGGTGCCTGCTCCCCAGCCCACATGCAGGTGGCAAGGACAGAAAACAACCCCGGTTGCAGGGAAATTAGCAGCAGCCCCTCTGATGCAGCCAAGACTAAGAGAGCAGTGCCAGGTTCTACTGGCTGGAAACGAGATGGAAACGCACCCAGAATCAGCTGCAGCCACTGTCCCGTCCTCTTCAGGCTCTCTCCAGCACGGCCCCAAGGAAGGATCTCTTGTGCTCCCCAGGAGAAAGGTCTGTCAGCCGCTGCTGCTTGCCGGGCTCGGCTGCCCGCGCAGACTGGAGGGGCACGGCAGGACGAGCGCGGGTTTAAAGGGTGTCACAGCGGAAGGGACGTTGTGCAACCCAGCTTCCCACGCCAGCACAGCTCCCAGTTCCCAGAAAGCTGCTCGGGGTATTCCCAAGGCCTGTATGCCCCTGTGCTGCGTTTTGCCTGATGGAAGAAGGAATTGCCCACAGGAAGTGCAGTGGGAAAAAGGGGATGGGGAAGTTGAGTGTGCCTGTATTGATGCTTCTGCTATTTTGAGCAGCACAACCCGTTCTGCTGTGCTGGCAGCTGTGGGAAGGTTTGCCCAGGGCACTGGAACACCCACAGCAAGGGCTCTGTGCCCTGCTGAACTTCCTGCATGTGCAGTGAGACCCTCCGGAGCACAGCCCTGCTCCTCACCCCATCCCCGAGCCCCAAAGAGGTGGGCTGTGGGCACCAGTGCTGGAAGCGGGGCTTGACCTCTGCTGGGAGGGCAGGAAGTTTTACAGATGGCTTCGTCAGAGGGCCAGGCTGATTTTGGGAAGCTCTGGGGTGCATGCGACGCTATTGCCCAACTTCAGAGAAGTGAGTGGCAGCTTCTGCTTGCCCAGAGCCCCAGCGTCACACAGGTTTGCTGAGAATAGCCCTGCAAATCTCCTACCTCACTGTGCCTGATGAGGGGAGCCAGGAATGGTGGCTCCAAGGGCCATCAGCACCTGGAAAGGGACACACGAAGGGTGGGAGAACAGACTTGTGAGCAGCCCTGGGGGATACATTTCCCAGACCCTTTTTAGAAAGTTTTATTTTTCAAAATATACAGTTTATTTACAATTGTAGTGTCTACAGTTTTACATATAAATTTATTTCAAACCTTTAAATATCTGCAGTAAACATTAGGGAAAAAGTAATAAAAAATAAAATCACAGGATCAGCAAAAAAGGCATCTCATAGTAATTCTTTTCATTGGAGTTTGAGTTTCAAGTGCCAATGGCTATGAAAACCATGAACTTGATAAATCTGGCAGAGAGATATGGGTGCACTGGTTAGAAAAAGGCACAATCCAGAGCTGTGGGACCCGCCCCAAAAGGGCTGCAGGCCAAGAAAACCCCGTGCTGAGATGGGCTGGGAGAAGGACCTAGGACAGGGAATCCCTTGGCATGAGTTAGGCAACAGGGGCAACTGCAGCGTGTTGAGTGCCCTGGGAGAGGGCAGCCCAGGAGAGACAGGGGCTCTGGCAAGGTGCCAGGGCAGAGGAGGGAGGGCAGCATCAGGCACTTCATCTCTCAGGCAGCAATCTGCCCGTGCATCCATAGCCTGGAGCGGGAGGGCAGCGAGGTAGGGGCAGGAGTCCACCAGGGAACCCCACAGCCTCCTCCTCCCCTTTCCTCACCATCCTCAGCCCCCCCATCCCCTTGCCAGTGCCACAGCTGGACCACAGCACTCCACAGGGATGCTCCACTTTGGAGTCACTGCTGTGGCACAGCCCCCAGGAAGGGGGCAGGGACCAGCTGGGGCTGGGGAGGGACACCAGCCCCAGTGCAGGGGGTACAGAGCCAGCAGCTGAGCACTGGGCTGGGGCTGTCAGTCCTCTTTCTTGAAGGTCTCCTCAGGGATGAGTGTCCGGAAAGGATAATCCCAGAAGCGTGTGCTGATGCCAAAACCTGTGGGCAGGGAAGACAGACTTCAGCCCGTGGCACCATCATCGAGGTGTTGCAAGGGCTCTGTGTTAACTGGTGAGGGAGGAGTGTCCACATTTTGGGAAGGGAGGAAGGCAAAGTGAAGACAAGGAGGAAGAGCAGAGGGAGCAGGAGCTGGCTGGGCCATGCCAACAAGCCCCATGGATGATAGCTTATCTGGATGGGGCGTTTTCTCCTAGGAAACCGGGCAAAGGGCAGGTTGAGCAAGCACCGGGCTAGGGAAAGTGTGGGATGGATCTGAGGAAGCCTAGGGCCTCACCCTACACCTGTCAACGCCTCCCAGCAGGAAGAGATGCTGCCCTGGGCAGGGATAGACACCCACATCCCAGCACCATGGGGGTTTGTTCTCTGCCCTGGCATTCCAGGCAGCACTGATGCCCACCAGTGAGATGGGTGCTGCCTTCACCCCTGTGCTGCTCTGGCTCCCCATCCTCAACCTGGGAGCCAGGAAATATTCTCCGTGGGCTACAGCACCTCACACGGTGCTTCCCCAGCAGCGCAGTGCTTGGCTTTCCTTATCCCAGATCCCAAATACTTTGGAGCAATCAGCTGCACAAATACAGGCAGACTGGACCTCTGACAGCCCTCGCCCCTGCCAGCACGCACGGGGAACGTGGCGCTACCTGATTTTTGGTGTTCAAAGTGGTGCTTGACGTGGTAAGCCTTGAGGCCATACAGGTAGGTGCCCTTCCTGGGAGAGCCGTAGTGCAGGTAGTAGTGCATCATGTCGTAGATGACGTAGCCACAGAGCCCCCCGACGAACACCGAGAGCCCCAGCACCTCGGGCAGCAGCAGCCGCAGGACGCCGTAGAAGAAGCCGATCACCAGCGAGGCTGGCACGGGAGGGAAGACCAGGCGGGAGCTGTCGAAGGGAGACTGGAAGCAGAGAGGGATGGTGGGACAGGCAGCTCCTAGCTCGCCCTGTTCCCCCCTGGCACATCCCTGCCAAGCATCAGGGAAACCCATCTGGGAGAAGCCAACACCAAAAACCCTCCCCAAAGTTGTACCCGGTGGCGAGAGCAGCCCCCCATGCATGCCAAGGTGCCCAGGCAGGTGGTGGCTTTATCTGGTAGGTGCCCAAGCTCCACATTTCCTCCAGCAAAGCTTTGGCTCTTTTGGTTTTACCCCTTGCCCAACCACACAGCTTGAAAATTTAACTCCAGATCCTCCAAGGCCGTTTTACAGCCCTTGCTGGTATTGGGTAAGTGCGTCGCTTGGGATGCCACCAGTCACACTGAACAGGCACCAACAGGCTCTGTCTGGGCAAAGGGCACACAGTAACAGGCTCCAGTGGGGCAAAGGCCACCATTCCCACGGCCCAGCAGGTGCCAGCGGGGGCGGGAGCTGCGACTCACCTTGTGATGCTGCCCATGCAGCAAGAAATGCAGCGTGATGAGATAGTAATTACTAGCGGGTGGCTTCATGTGGAAGACAAAGCGATGGATGAGGTACTCTAGCAGGGACCACAGGATCATTCCCAGGAGGAAGATGAAGGGGAAGTAGTATTTGTGGACGGGGATGGAATACTCTACACAACAAGACGTGCAGTGGTCAGCAGGACAGGCAACATGCAGGTGCTTTTATCCATCACTATCCTCCCACTGGCATCAGGGTGATGCTCAGCTCTCCCTCCCTCCCACTGCTCATCCACCTCCTGTCCTGAGCTTCCCTAGGGAGCTAACTGCCCAAGCTCCGCTCTAAACCACATTTTCCTTTGATTCCTACTAATTTACAGAAACAGGCAGCTTCTTGCTGCCTCAGGAAGACAGTGAGGGGAGCTCCCTGCATTCCAGATTCCAACGAGGGCTTGGATGTGCACTCTAGGGACTGCGTCACCATTGCAAAGCTGCTTCACCCACCAGAACAAGGCAGGAGGGACCTTAGTTGCACAGGCAGCACTCGTGACAGTAAAACAGTGCTGTTGGTGTTGGTGTTTATTTTTCTGGGGGAAAAAGAATAGACTTGTTGGGCACTTTCCCCCGCAGAACATTTTTCAGCCACCTCCTTCTTTCAGGGCTGGCTGCCAGCCCTGTGTCCTTCCCAGCAAAATTTTGATTGCCCCAAAAACCACTTTTTTTTTTTTTTTTTTTAGGAAAAAACCTCACTAAACTTGGTAGCAAGGTGCTGAATGCCACAAGGATCAGGAAGTGCCTGTGCAGCCGGTGCTCCCCACCCCACAGCTGGGCACAGCTGGCACTGGGTGGCACCTTGCAAAAAAAATAGGGAACCCAGCAAAAAAGAAAAAAAAAAAAAAAAAAAAAAAAAAGACAACAAAGAAGACAGCCTGCCACGCTTGTTGTTCCCGGGGGAGCGGGGAGCAGACAGTGGGAGATTCAAGGGCAGGCTCCGGGCAAACAAGCCCCGCACTGTGCGGAGCCGCGGCGCTCAGAGCCGGGTTTGTTCGCCCGCTCCGCCGGCAGCCAGCGGGCCGGGGTGGGCGGCAGCGGCGATTGGAACTCACCCCAGCACCGGCTCGGCTTTGGGGACTGAGGGAACGGAGGCAGGGGGGAGCAGGCTGCAGCCCAGGCCAGCTCTGTGCCTCTACTGAACTCCGGGGGGACCAAATGTGGTGCGAGGAAGGGAATGGAGGTGGGCAAGCGCAGGTGGCTTCGTGCAGGGGACGTGCTGGTGGCCACAAGGGAGAGGGGGTGACCTGCTGCTCTTGCATGTGGCTTGTGGTGAGCACGTACAGAAGGAGGGATGGGGAAGGAATGCAGGTCTCACCCACTCAGGGCATTCCTGCCCCTGGCCCAGAGCGGGGTCAGTAATGGAAGCCCAAAGGCGTAGCTGCTGCTCGTACCTGTGGTGAAGGAGGAGAAGAGCCTGGTGTTGCCCTGAGCAAGGGAGGTGTAGCTGACCCAGCTGAGATAGAGCACCACGGGCGTCCATACCATGAACACCACGTACCTATGGGCAGAAGGAGATGTCAGAGGAAGTGTCCTGCTGGCTGGTGAGCCATCCCCCGTCCCGGGGCAGGCACCCCCCAGGGCACAGTGCAGAGCCTGCGAGCTCACCACGCTGTCTTGGAGAGGAACTCAAGGAAATCCGAGTGGAAGAGGCGGATGGGCCGATCCACAGGCTGGTGCACCCACTCGTCGTACTTCTCCCCTAAGTAGCCCACCTGCCACAGCAAGGGCTTCTGCCAGTCTACCAGGTCCTGAGGGAGCAGACAGTGGTTGTAGTGCTGTGGAACACACAAACCATCCCAGCACCAGGCACAAAGCTGAGCTGCTGCTGCTGCAGGATTTTGGGCTGCCAACCCCTTCCCATGCCCCAAGAGCAGCTGCTTCTGGTTCCAAGGTGCCCTGAGCTCCCCACAAGCACAGGGCACACAAGGAGCCAAACACACACCAGCCCCAGGGCTTAGCTCACCCCTGTGCCAGCAGGTACCTGCCAGCAGATCAAGGTGAAGGCAGCTGTACCCAGACCTGGGTCAGCATCAGGCCCTGATAACTGAGGCTCTTTGCCTCTCAAGCTGCCAAGATTAGATAGTGAGCAGTGATATTGCCCAGCAGAACACCTCTGGCGGCACACAGATCCCACCCCCATGGCACTGCCCCTGCCAAGGACATTTCTCCTTGTGCAGAGGACACATGGGGTGGCCACAGCTGTTTGGGCACCCCAGTGAGGAGCAAAGTGGGAAGAGATGGGGAGCAGGGATACAGGATGGGAACACAGACTCCAGCAGTGCTGCTGAGCATGGCTGAACTCAGGTGCAAGAGTAAGAAGGGACCTGTGCAGGTACACATGTTGGCATGGCATGAAAATAGGGAGGCACAACTGGCAGCACCACCTCTGCCACTGCTCAGCATCCCTGGACACATCTTCTGCTGGCCTGGCCAGATAAGGTGGATTCTTGGTTCCACCCCTGTGCCAGGACTGAAACCACGCTTGCCTGGCCAAGCCCTGGGCCTGGCAGCTCTCCTGGGGCTGCTTGTGCCACACAGCACTGGCACAGCAATCTGGCACCTGGGGTTGTGCTGGCAGTGGTGGGGATGGCTCAGTTCAGGGCATCCCAGGGCAAGGAGTCGGGGTGGCTGTGGGCATTCTGGGGGCTCTGCTGCAGGCAGGGATGGGCACAATCACACAGGAGGGGAAACAACCCCAGCTGGTGTATGGGATGGGAACAGAGCCATTCTCCACTGGGGGAAAAGTTAAAGCAGAAAGTTCACTTGGAAATGGACATTCTCTTTTAAAGGTGCTCAGTGATAAAATATTAATTTGGGGGGTGAAAGATGTTCTCCTGCTCCAAAAAATTCCCCAACTTTCTACAAGATAAATGCATGCTCACCAACCAGCTGGGACCATGCAAGGTGTGGTGACCAGATGGTGCCATGGAGGGCAGGGACAGCCAAAGGCACCTTGGGGACAAAGCCCCATGTTGTGGCATGCTTGCAAAGCAGCTGGCAGGGCAGGAAGCACCCTGCACACACAGGGATCACCCTGCCCAGCTGGGGAATCCCTTCCTACTCATTATGAGTGCTCAGGCAAGGGGAAAAAAAAGTAAAATAAATAAAGTAATAAAATAAATAAAGCAAGAAAGAAATAAAAGCAAGCAAGGTGCGGCTTGGCAACACTTCCCTCTGGAAGGGCACAGCCGCTGTCAGAGAAAGGCATCTCTCCCATGCTGCTGCAATGGGAGCCTCCCAGCATGGCCACACCTGTGCAATAAAGCATGAGCAATGCCATCCACACCAGGAGAAAGGGCAGAAGTGGCTGGATCAGTTTGGCTCCCTCAAGCCATCCCTCCCATCCAACAGGCCAGCAGAAATCCAGCACTCTTGCAGGGAAGAGGAGACCTGGTGTTTCCCAGGAGCACTCTGGCAAACAGTGTGCTGGAGAAACTCCAGAGCTCTTACCGTCTCCACATGCACTGTTTTGTAGCAGAGATCTGTCTGCTCTGGAGTCTGGGCTGCAGACATTACCTCCTTCTCATCCACTGTCTCAGAGAGGCTCTGAAAAGAGAAGGAAAAGTTGGTGGTGAAGCACCAGTGGCACATTCAGCTGGGGATGGTGATGGCTGTAGCACCCAGGGTTAGGCCAGAGTGAGCTCCTGCCTGCTAAACAAATATGGGGAAAATTCTGGTGAATTTAAGTCAGTCAGTTCCTGCAGAGCAGGATTCCTGAGGGAAGCAGCTGCCAGTGAGCTGCCCTGCCCTTTGGACTGAGCATCGTGGGCCTGGGGTTCTTTGGAAACCTCCTCTGAGCCCAGTGTTTGGAATACCCTGCCCATGGCCAGGACAGCACGGGTGCTTCAGAGTGGCAAGGCAGAAACTGGGCCCTGGGACAGCATTTTCCCCTGCAAATGAGCAGTGCCATAGCAGAGGTCACCTTGCCACTGCCAGTAAAGCCAGGGGCATTGCTGGGTTAGTGCTCCCTCCTCCCACCCCACTGATCTCCAACAAAAGCCCAGCTTGGCTTTTTGGTCCCTCAGAAAGCTGGGCTGGCAGACCTGGGGAGTGTGGTACAGCTGGTGCCACCACCCTGCCCGTGGGCACAAGGAAAAACACAGAAGGAGGGACCTTGTCCAGGGAAAAAGGCAAAGTGTCCTTCACAGGGTGACACTGGGCTGGGTGCCTTTGCCACGGGCTGTGGAATATGAGGTGGGCTTTGGTCGTGGCTCAGGGGAGCACGCTGAGGCACAGGGGATGCAGGGGCGCAGTGGTGGCAGGATGAAGACCCAGCTGCAGTCCCACTGGCAGGGCGGGCTGAGAAACAGGAGAAACCTGCCTTGTCTGATGCTTGGAAGCAAACACGCTGCCAGCTGCCAGCACCTGCCTCCTTCCTGTAGCTGTGCCAGCCGCGGCGCCAGCCCTGCCGCTGCTGGGGGGCTCGGTGGGGCTGCAGCCGTGCCCATGCAAACCCCACGGCAGCCGTGCCCCCGGCAGCAGCGCCGGCTCCCCGTGCAGGACGTGCCAAACCTGCCTTTTCTCCCGCTCTGCCGCCCTGAGTTACCCATTAACCCGGAGCAGGGCACGGCGTGGCCCGGCAGCCGCAGCACAGCCGTGCCCGACGGGGCTCCCAGCTGTGCCGCTTCCAGAGAGGAAGGATTTTATCCCAGCTCCTCAATGGATGCTCTCCCCACCGCTCCGAGAGGGATGCACTGCTGCTCTGTCGAGGGGAATACTGCCCTGGCAGCTGCAGGAGGGCCTGGGATGCAGGAAAACCAGTGTCACCTTGCCAGGATGTCAGGACTTGACTCTGTGCCTTGCTGGGGACACCGAGGCAGGGCTCAGGCACTGTTTACCGACGGCAGGCACTTCTTGCAAGCTGTGCTCCCACCCCATTTCTTGGGCTAACCGGACTTCAAGCCTCATTCTGCTGGTACAGGAACTGTGTTACCCAGCTCTGAGGCAGGCCCTTGCCTGGGGCAGTGGGCAGGGGAGGACAGGGGATATTCCAGCCAGTATTTCCAGGCTGGAATCCCACTGGCATCAATTTTACTGCAGGCAGAGCACCAATATGAGCTGATACCATGTACCGCCACACCTCTCTGTGAGGATTCCCACTGCTGTTTTCCATGCTGCACACTCTGTCCTTCAGCCAGACATTCCAAAACCCTAGGGCAGATGGGATGTCTTAAAATCATGGTGGATTTATGGTTTTGCTTCTGCCCTGCAGGTGCTTTGGAAGAAAATTTGGTTTTAAGAGAGTGAAACGGCTTATCCATGCCCTGAGAAATGGGCTGGTGCTCTCCACCTTCACACTTGCACCACAGCCTAGCCAGCAGCAGGAAGGATGCTTAAGAAAGCTGGGCTGACGCAATGCCCGGCACCTCTCCTCCCTTTTCCGAAATGTTCACACACCTCCAGTTCCCCTGCCCATGGATGCCTGAGCACCCTGTCATGGCTGGAGGCTTTAAGGTCCTCCCAGGTCAGGGAGATGGACTGGGGGGCTCACATCCCATCTCACCACCAGCACCTGGGCTGGATGACAGCAGTGACATGCCCTTGCCTTGTGTGCTATGGCAGCTCCCTGTCAGCACCCAAATCATCTCCTACCCCTCCTCTTCCTCAGCTGGGGAGCAGGAGGAAGGCTCTCCTATTGCTCACCCTGGAGCTGGCACTGAAAGGACCAGGAGCCGTGTTGCAACCAGGATGCAAACCACGCTGGCATGTCCCAACTGGCTCCCCAAAGAGTGTCGTGTTCCTGCCTGCCCCAAGCACACAGGGGCCCTGCTGAGATCAAGCCCTGTGAGACCTGAACCAGCGCTGGGGCTTCTGCCCGTTCTCCTCTAAACAGGAGGTGGGTTGGGAGGAGGCTGAAGGGCTGTGCTGAGCTGGGCTCTGCTGTCACCTGTGGGTGGTGAAGATGCATCTGAGCTGTCCCCAGGCAAACAGATCCTGCCAGGGAAGATGAACAAGGGGCCTCATGTAAGGAAGGGAAAGTTAACGCCTACAAGGCACTGCACCTGCAAGTGAGCAGCAGTCCCAGTGAGGTGCTGCTGGTACACACAGGGCCAAACACCCAGGGCATGGCATGATCCAGTGACTGGGTGACCCAGCATCCACCTGTGAGCATCTGGCTGCCCTGCGTGGGTCACACAGGGAGCTCAGCACTGGGTCCTGCACCCAGGCTGTGCCACCCAGAGCTATCCTGCATCAGGGCTTGGGGCATTAAATGAACAAAATCCAGCTCTGATGTGAGCTACAGACAGAAGGGGTGGTCCAGCACAGGGTTCAGTGTTCTTGGGACACAGGCAGAGAAGCTGGAAACCTCCCCCTGTCCCAGACAGGGCGATGCTGCCTGCAGACAGCTGCTCTGCCAAAAGCCTGGACCCAGGGGTATTTTCCACCCATTTGCCCAGTGAGTCAAACCCCAGAGGAGTCCTACCATACCTCTGCATTGCTCCACAGCCTCCAGCACCTTCACTGAGCTCCTCAGAGGCTCAGTTTGCTGGTGTCCACATGGGACAAGCTCTGCTGGCAGTGCAGGTACAGGCATGTAGCACGAGGACACCCCAGGAGGTGCAGAGAGCCCAAGCCAGGTGCTCGCTCGTGGGGGCACCATCCCAGCAGCACCATCCCAGCAGCACTGTGGTCTGTGTTCTCTGGCTGGCAGAGCCCCACAAGGCTGGGTCAGCCCATTAAACACTGGGTGCAGCAGGGCTATTAAAAGGAGGTGAATTTATCTCCTAACCATAGCAGCAATATAAAAAGTGACTTCTTGTTACATCACCCCCAGAGAGGTGCCCCAGGTGTCCCGCCTACATCCAAGCGTGCTCAGGCTGGGATGCAAAGCCAGGGCGAGCCTGACGTGCAGCAAGAGAGGCAAGAGGAAGAGAAGGACACTAAACCTGAGAAGGATGGAAGATTTACTGTGACTCACAGCTATGTCATACACCCCAAAGAGGCTGTGATGAAAGTCCCTCATTGCTCAAACTGGAAGAGTAATTAGATGATCCAGTTCCCTTCTAGCAAGGCTGTTAAAATCCACTGTCTAGTTTAGGTAATTATTGGTACTCACTTTGATCTCCCCTCCATGTCCTGCTTGCACAGATAAAATATTTAGGGATTTGTTCTTGGCCAAAAGGATTTGGGTGATGCAGAAAAGGGACCTGCAGCTGAAGGAGAGAGCCACAGGAAAGGGCATGGAGAGGCCAGTGGGATCAAGGCCAGATCTTATCTTCTTTATCTCTCCTGCATTAACACATTTTTTCCTCTTTCCAAAATCCTGGAAATTCCTGGGGCAAGCAGGGGAGGATGCTGGACCAGAGCATTCTGAATCCCTCAGCATAGAGATGATGTAGCCCTGGGACGTCCAAAGGGCAAGCTTTGTCCACTGGCAAAGCTGTGGAGATCTGGAATAAATTTGGGGTAACGTAACACTTCCTCCAAAGAGCTGTTTGGACTACACCTGCCCCAAAGCACCCAAAGCATGAACCCAAGCACCACCAAGGACATCACCGCTGCCCAGAGAGGATTTTTAGGGGGTGGGGAGTAGGGCAGAGCAGCTCACACATCAGCGCATGCCGGACACGGCCTCACCATGCAGCAGGCAGCTCTAATCCCTGCGCTGTGTGTTACAGGCTGGGATGGTTTATCTGGCACCAGGCAGTGTCAGATCTCCTGCGCCCTGGCGTTATCACGCCATGTATTTGCATTGGGATGGTGGCGGCTCCCCTCGCACGGGAACCCGTTTGTCCGGTACCTTCCCTCGCCCCAGCCCGCTGGGCTCGTCACGCCTGCGAGGAGGCGGCGGCTCAGCGAGTGTCCCAGCGGAGGAGGTGCCATCGCCGGGATCCGTCCGGGGAAAACGCAGGCACTGCAGCGAGGCTGAAACAAAGCCCTGTCTGTGGCGCTGGGGCCGAGGCTGCGCCTTGGGCAGGACAAACAACCAGCCAGAGGGACCGGCCGGTCACCGACCCCGCTGGGACGCCCAGGGGGGAACTGCTGGGCTGGTGAAGGGGGCTGGGCTGGCCCCGCTGCTCAGGTTCTGCCCACGGCGTGCTGCAGAGGGCTGGTATTGGGTAGCAGTGCCCAGTGCCACCCGGAGGCTGCGGAACGTCCCCAGGGAGCTCTCCCTTCTGCCTGGACGACACGGGACTGGCAGGGTGGGGACGGAGCTGTGTCATGGACACCCATGCCCCACACCAGGCAGTCAGGGAGATGGCTGGGCTCCTCTCCTCAGCAGTGGCTGCTCACCACTGGCAAACCCCAGTGCCCAGCACCTTGGTGCCTGGTTGAGTGCTGACAGGGCCAGGAAGGGTGTCCTGTCCCATTGCCCACTCCATGCCATACAGTCCTGCTAAAACTGGCACTGAGCTCCATCTCCTGCATCCCTCCAAAGACCCCCAACACCTCCATGCCACACTGGCACCCAGAACCACCCATCAGCCCTGCTTCCTAGCATGGCCAGGGAGGGATGTGACCATGGAGTGGACCTGTAGGTACCAGGCTCTGTGCACTTGGCACCCCATGGGCTTCAGGGTCCCCTGCACCTCAGACCCCAGAGAACTCCTGGGAGCCAGGAGGCACATGGGACCTTGGCACCCTGCACACCTCAGGCACCACCCATGCAAGATCCCAGGAGCCTCAAACATCCTCTGTCCCCTTCACCCCTCATGCCCTGTAGATCCTAGACCCTACAGAGCCTGATCCTATGGGTGCTGTCCTGCTCACACCCAAGACGCACCATGTCCCATACAGCTCAGACTGAGATCTGGGTGCACTAAACACTTTATGTGCTACATGCACCTCAGAAACTTCTTGCCATGTACACCCCAATGCCTATCCAGCCTCTGTACATCCTGAACAGCTTGGACGCTGAGAAGCCTGGACCTGGAGTGCCCTACAGACCCTGTATGGCTCAGACCCTGCACAGTTTGGACCCAGGGTGTCATACAGACCCTGCACATCTTAGACTCCCTGCACTCTGGACTTGGGATGGTTTATAAACCCTGCCCTGCTCAGATCCCAGAGAGAACAGACCTGGAGCACCCTACCAAAACTTGATCCAGGACCTAGGCCACCCCATAATCTCTGTACACTCCAGTCCCGGGACGTGGGGTGCCCTACAGAACCACTGTATATGCCAGCCCTGGGACCTGGGGTGCCCTAGAGAGACCCTGTACCTCCTGAATCGGGACCTGGGATGGGGACACAGACCCTGCACATCCTGGAATAGCACCTGGGACACCCTACAGCCTCTGCATTTGCCAGTTCCGGGACGTGGGGCACCCATAGCCCTTGTTCACTGAGGCACCCCGCAGAGACCGCACATGCCCCCGCCTTCCCCTACAGCCCGTGTCCGCCCCGGTCCCGGTCCGGTACCTGCTCATCGCCGGGCTCTATCTCCCCCACGTAGTACTGCTCCAGCCAGCGGCGGGCGTTCTCCGAGTGCCGGTGGGGCGGCCCGTCCAGCGCCGCGCTCACGTCGGTGCCGGCCCGGCGGCGCAGCAGCTGCTCCCCGCCCGGGTGCAGCCGCACGAAGCCGCTCAGGTCGTACAGGCGGCGGTGGCAGGAGACCAGGCAGGCGCCCTGCGCGCAGCGCGCCCGCACCTCGGCGGCGCTGAAGGACCGCGGCCCCGCCGTGGCCATGGCCCCGCCGCCGGTGCCCGTCCCGGTGCCCGTCCAAGTCCCCGTCCCGTGCCGTCGCGTCCCGCCGCCGCGCTCTGCCCGCACCTGCTCATCTGCATACATGCATATGCAGCAAGGCCACGCCCCGGGCCGCGCCCCGCCGCAGCCCATTGGGCAGCCATGGACGGGTGGGGCATGGCTGGGGCGGGGAGGCTCCGCCCCACCGCAGGTACTCTGGAAAGTGGGAATGAGGCATCCCTGGAGAGGCAGAACGGGGCGAAGGGGGCACGGGGCACCCACGGGGTGAATGGGGAGTGAGGCGTCCCCAGGGGAGGGGAGTGTGCCCCCCAGGGCCCATGGGTACGGTCAGGGTGGGGGAATGGGGGTCTGGGCAGCCTGGGATGGGTTATGGGGGGCACTGGGGTACCCCGGCATGGAACTGGAGTATGGGCATCCCTGGGGCAGGGATGAGGCTGTGAGGGCATCCTGGGGTGATAGCTGGGGGAATAGGGCACCCCTGGGGGAATCACCCTTCCCAAGTTACCAATCCCTCTCCAAGATCCTCGGTGGCCAAGGCAGGGGACACCCAAGTCCTGGCTCAGAGTGCCCTAGGAGAGCAGGGTCCTTCCTGGGGTCACCCAGAGGCCAACTCACCAACTCACCCCAGTGTCACTTGCTGCCAGGCACCACATCCCCTTCCCAGCTGCTTGAAGATATATTTCAGTATTTAATTAAATTTGCAAGTAGCTGGTAGCTGGGGGGGGGGCAGGATGCAGCCCCAAATACCCCAAAGAATCACAGCCAAATAATTAATAAAGAATGACAAGTAAGGAGTTTCACATGCATTTTTTTGTGAAGATTTCCCTCTGAAGTAAGGGGGGCTGCTTTGGGGTGACACCCTTGACCACAAGGGCTGGCCACGTGCCAGCAAATTTGGCGTTGCCGGCCACACCGGGCTGGAACCAGTGATTAAGGTGGGGTTTGCCATCCCAGGAATGGGGAGCCCCCCCAGCCCCACCTGTAAGGGTGGGTCACCACCTCAGCCCCCCGGCTCTGGGGTGCTGTGGGGCGCAGGCCAGGCGCTCACTGAGGCCTTTAATCAAGGTGGATGCAAAACCTGCTGTGGCAGTCGGCATCAGCTCCACCTCCCCACCCGGCTCCGGGCATGGCCCTGACACCTGCTTGGGGAAAAGTCCTTTTTTGGGTGGGCAGATTGATTTTGCACCCTGATAGGAGCAGAAGGGTTAAGGGTGGGCATGCTCCTGGCTGGGGCTGCTGCAGGGCACCTGGGGTGCATTGGGAGTCCCTTGGGGTGGAGGACAAAAACCATTTTCTGGGGCTTGGGAGGGCCAGAGTAGTCCTGAGAGGTTGCTGGGAGACCCCGAACGAGGTGCTGGAGTGGGACACTCTCCCAAGGGGATTCCCCAATACCCTCAGTGGCCACGGTGGTCCTGGTTGTGGTGGGTGAGCTCAATCTGGCACAGCTCTCTGGGGCATTAGGGTGGCTTCTGGATGGACACTGAGGATTTTTTGATGAGCGTGAGGGCAAGGTGGGGGGCAGATCTGAATGAGCTGGGGCTCTCAGCTGAAGGCCACTGCACCCAATCCCAAACCAGGGACCCCAGGCCCCAAGCATGCTCAGGTGCAGTGGCCACTATCCCTTTGTGCGGTGCTGGAGGAGATGGAGAGGCCACCTGGTTGTGACCCCCCCCAACGCAGTCCACCGGCTGCTCTTGCCTGTGCAGCCCAGCCCTTCCATGGGTTTTGGGGCCACAGGCTGCCAAGGGCCACCCTCTGTAATCACCACTCATGGTAGAGGTGGGTCCAGCCTTGGCCAGCCCACAAAGCTGCCAGGTGACCTGTGGGTCCCTGCTGCCATCCTCTCCCAAGCACAAATGTTCCTCAAATGTGCCACAGCAGGTCCCAGGGATATGAGCCAGGCTCTTGTGAGCTGACATTTCATCTCCCCACATTACCTCCTGGGCTCTGTGGTGGGGCTCTGTCCCCCCAGGAAGGCACAAGGGCGTCCCCACAGTGGGTGAGCCAATCCCCAGCCCTGCAGTGAGAATGGGGCAGCAGGGGGACCCTGTCACCTGCAGAGCAGGAAGGCACTGAGCACAGGTGGCACTGGGAGAGGGACAGTACTGGGAACAAACTGTACACTGGTGTAACAGCATCACATTGGCAGCAGAGGGTTGTGCCAATGCCCTGTGTCTGCTGCTGTGCTCATCCCTGTCCCTGCACCGTGCCAGCCCCAGGACAAGCAGGATCAGGAAGTGTAGTCAGTTTGCTGATCAGCCTGGCTGGAATGAGAGCAGCCAAGTGGCTTTGGCTCATCAGTTCCTAAACTGGTTTCCCCACCAGACAGACGGACAGACGCTGGGGCTGGCACACAGGAGACAGCAGGAATGTGCTGCTGGGCTTGGGGCAAGATTAGGCCCTGCAGTGCTGGAGGGGCTGATGCTGGGATAAAGGAGCTGTGGCCACCAAGGAGGAGGAGACCAGTACAGACTCTGCTTGGTATTGCATCCATGGGAAAGGTTTTCCCTCTCTGCTAAACACTCCTTGTTTCTCTGCCAAACTTGATCATCAGGGATTAAACTTCTTTCTCTGCACATGGAAAGCCTCAGAGGGGATAGGAAAGGCACACCATGCTTGTAACACCCTCAGTAGGAAAACAAATAGGGTTTAAAATGCTGACATTGGCCTTTAGGGCACAGCGTGGGTTGTCACAGGAGCCCTCTCTCTCTTCCAGCCTCATCCTTGGGAAAGCTAATGGATACACAGGTAACAGCTCCTGGGATGCACTTGGCAGGCAGCTGAAGCAAGTTTTGGCAAGCAGCTGTTCAGGGTCAGACCTAAGGTCTCCCGCCCTTGGCATCCTCCTCTGCACCGGCCTGGGAAGCGTGCCAAAGCAGGTGTGGGGTGCGTGGGCATCTGCAGAGCACTGCTGGCTGGGCTCTCTGGACGGAGCTGGCTTGGGATGGAGCTCCTTGGCAGTGTCCACTCACTCCTGAGCCCTGGCAAACCCGTGGCATCGGGGATGCCCTGAGGGAAGTGGTTTGACACCCCTCCCACGTGGTGCACAAAGAGCGCGCCAGACTTGTGCAGAGCAGCTGCCGTAATCCAATGGCCCCTTGCTCCTGCTCCAGCAGAAACCATGGATGGATCATCCCCTGCCCTGCAGCCCGACTGACCACACTCCTGAGCACTGTGCATCAGCTGAAGGCTCTATCCAATTCACCTGGTGTGACCATGGCAGCATCCCCAGAGCCGGTCTGGCGCACGCTCTGGCCCACGCTCACTGCCTGAGCAGTGCCTGTCTCCCCTCCCTTCTCTAAAGCTGCAATTCAGAGCGAGATTGGGCCTCACTGGGGAACTTCTTGCACTCGGTACAAGTTATTCGGAAGAGCAGGTGGCTGAGGGGCAGGCAGTCAGGGGTGGGTACCACCACGCCCCATTTCTGACCATTTACTGCTGCCCTGCACAGCAAAGGCAACAACGTTTCTCTCTTCAATCGGCTCCAGGCAGGCAGATTAAGCCGGTTGCGTTTCCTTGCAATAGTCACTTCTGCAACGAGTGGGGCTGCTCCCAAAAGAACCGGCAGACATGCTGCAGGGTGCGAGAGAAATGCTGGCAGCATCCGGGAAGAAATTCCACCTACCTGTGCAGGGCTGCACCAACAGCCGCGGCAAGGGCTTTTCCGCCTTCCTCTGAAGTGCGGCCGCGCTCCGCCTCGGGGCCATTCACATACTCCGGAGATGGACCGTAATGGACTGTAATAACACACTAAACACCACGATTTGTCGGTCCGTCACCTTTAAATAACAAATCTCCTTTCGCTTCCAAGCTACAGGAGCACTCAAGCATGGAAATGAGAATACTTCCAGGCTGAATGGCTGTCTCTTAGGGAGGCGAGGGCGGGAGCGCTGTCCCTGCAGCTCCTGGCAAGGAAGGAGCAGCCTGGCCCTGGGGCTGCCGCGGCGCCGGGCAGGACCCCGGAGCTCCTGCCTGCTTTCCGGGGGGCAGACGCTGCCCAGGGCCTCCCCAAACTGCAGGATGTGGGCTTTGCTTTGCCGGCAGCTCAGACGCCGCCCGGCTTCGCTTTCCCAAGAGGAGCCTCACAACCGCGGGCAGTTCCCAGTCTGTTCCCAGGCTGGTGTGGCAGGTGTGTCAGCACGTTGTCCCATCCAGGGCTGGGGGACCCAGCAGTGCCTTAGCTCTTGTGGGGCTCTGCTGCTACCGAGCCCCCTGCTTTGGGGTGCAGGGAGAGGGCCGTGGGGGCAACACTCACCACCCACTGGGAGGGAGAGCTGTGCGGGCTCCCCACAGAGAGAGACCCATCAGAGCAACAACACCACATTCTATCAGAACAGCACTTAAAAAAATAATTTTAATGTTTTAATAGTTTAAGATACATAATCTGTTTATTCCACAACAGGATCCCACTGCCTGAGCTAGCACAGGGGTTGGGAAGGGGCATGACACATAGCCCCACTCAACAGGCAAGCGTGGGAGAAGGGATCAGTGCTGGTACAGGTGGGGGTAGCTCCAGCTGGCTCATCCCTGACCACACATTCGCCTAAATCCAAAGCTCAGGCTGAAGCCAGCCCTGGAGAGGCACAGGCTGCACATTCCAGGTGTGCACACACTGCACAGCAGCATCCCAGTGCTGGGAGTGCCCTGCAAGCACAGCCCCAAAGAGACAGAGCCATCAGTACATTCTCCAGTTGATGCTCCACAGTAAGAAAAGTCATAAACCTTTTGCCTCTATTGATTCCACCAAACTGCTGCCTCCCTGTTCAAGAGCCTCGTCACTCCAGCAGCAGCAAATCTCAAATTAACCCTAATTTCCCCCATAGTGCTTGGAAACAACAGCCAAAAGTAGATATACTGAGTAAGTGTCCTCTGTGTGTGTTCTCAGTGAGGGAGCAAAGGCTTTCCAAAACACATCTAAAAGACACTGTGGATCCCAAACTCAAAAGGCAGATGCCTTTCCCAGTGACCAGGAAGTGTCACTACCAAGACAGGGACAAGTTAAAGTGCATTTTATCACCTGGTCAGAGCGGGACATGGAGACAACTCAAAGCCTAACAGTACTAAAAATGCTGGAAGTCACTAATCCCAGGGACCTTGGGTGCATGTCTGGGCTTTTCACAGGTACTGACTAGAGCAGAAATTATTTAAAATGTAATCCTGAAAAATGCCATTTCCTTTTCTTGTTTGTGGGGAAATCTAAGCGATGTAAACAGCCATTCAAAACAAGGACCCTGCTGCTTCCAGGGAAACTCTGAGCACAGTTCCATGGACTATTTCCTCTTCAAGCACCACTGACAACTCACCTTCAGAGCTTACTGTTGCTTGAGAATTATTTCTGCTTTAATTGTGTAAAACGACTGTTTTGCTCAGTTTGAGCCCATGTAAGGAGGCACCTGGAAAAGACAAAAGACTCTACATTGCTGAAGCAAGTTTGGCTCTGCCAGGTGGGCCCCTTCCACGGGAGCTTTCAAAAACCTCTTCATCCCAAACTAACCAATATTCACAAACCCTTCTGCAGGAGAGAGCAATTTTTCTGGTCTGGCATCCATTGCCAGCAATGGACGCAGGGAATTTGGTCAAATTGGTCTAAAAAGCAACCTGGGAAGCATAGGAGTAATGGAAGCACTTGTAAACATCACCACAGCACATTACCAGGACGTCCTGCTTCAGCTCCTTGCGGCGATCTCCTCCAGACAGAGCGGAGCAGAGCTGACTCAACATGGCTTGGGAATTAAATATTCAACCAGTTCCCGGGCGGCTCGCTGTCCCCACTGCTCAGAAGGTGCTCTCGAGCAGGCAGTGGCACCCACAGCCCGTGGGACAGACCTCCTGGGTGCGAAACCACTCCATCATGTGGCTGGTGTGGCCCCCGTGTCCGCAGGTCAGGCAGAAGTTGGAGGAGCCGCGCACGGCCACGTGGCAGATGGCGCACTGGAAGGTGAAGCCCTTGCAGATGGCGCACTGGGTGCCGCGCACCTCGCTGCGGCAGTGGCTGCAGTACACGCCGAACTCTGCCGGAGGGAAGGCAGAGCAGAGCAGACGGTCAGTGCTGGGATCACGGACAAAGCAGCCCTGCACACAGCCCCTTACACCGCCTCAAAGCTCCATCAGGATGGGAGGGCGGATGGTGTTTAGAGATCTTGGTTTGTTCTCCACACGCGATCAAAGGAAGGGGCAGCTGCAGCACTGAGGAACTGACTGGCCCAGCAATTCCCCTGATGGCTACAGCTGTCTGCTGGAAATGTGAGATGGACTTCAAGCTTTGGAGACACTGACTCGTGAAGGCTTCCTGCTGGTCTCACCCACCTCTTACCACTATAAAGTGTCACTAAGCAAGCAAGAACAGCCTCCATTTCTCATCAGAGAGCCCACCTGATGCTCCTGTATCAGACTGTCAGCCAAGGAGGGGCAAAGGCAGTGGGTTAAGTCACCTGTTTTCACTCCAGTTACACCCCAGAAGTTATCTTGGGTTACAAGGTGAGACTACTGCTGTTTCTCTGGCATCCTTCACCTGTCTTTCTCCCCCCAGGTCAAGCACATCTGTTTCTAGAGGTCTGTGAAGAAGACAATTTGGCAGCTGTCCTTAAGCTGGGCATCTACGTTGCTGGAAGTATTTTGAGAGGAAAGTTCTCTTTACCTACTTGCTGGCTAGCTCACCTAGTTAGAGATCTTGCAATTTTAACATAAGGACACTTCAGTCCAGGATCAGAGATGAAGACAGGGCATCTCAGAGGGAATAAAGCACATTCATTGGCACAGAGCTGAGCATTGCTGGCATGGCAGTATGTGAATTTTCCAGCTTTCTTAGAGAGATGTTATAGTCTACAAAGCCCTTGAACCAACACCTGCAAGCCTCACCTCCACCCAGAACTGCGAAGAAATCAAACTCATTTACTGGCAGAGGTAGCCTCTGTCACTGTCAGAGGTTAAATGCCACATTTGCTGTAACATTTCAGTAACCAATGGACACTTTATCCATGTAGCAGGATGCTCTGCCTAAGCAGGAGTAAAACAGCTTGGATTTTACCTTACTTGCAAGCTATCAGTGATGGATTGAGCAGAGAGGGCCCTGCTGTTCTTAGTGTTGAAGAATGCTGAAACCAGCTTGATCACACTATCCTGAATTAGACCCATCACATGAACAGGTAAGGAAAATGCTTCCTTATCAAGCCTGGCATCAACAGGGATGTGAAAACCGTGGCAGGGAAGGGAGAGGCAGATGTTTACAGAAGAAGAAACCAAAGAGCTGATAGCATCTTACTCAAAAATAAAACACGTTCTGTTGAGCAGGCAGGACAACATTTTATCTAAAATTGTGTGACTGACAGTCAATCACTTCACACCATAAAGACCAGTTCCATTTTTAAATGGTGAAAATTTTTAACACACCTTCCTTAGGTGTGTGTGAAGATCCTTACCTTGGGTGGGGACACCCCTCAAGGTCACTCCTCAAAGCTCAGTGAGAGAGATTTGCCCATGGTCATTGCTATGGATGGACATCACAGTCTACCTGATAATTATTAAGCTAGCTTTGATATTATTTATTTAATAACCAGTGCTTTGTATTTCTAGTTTTAATTTTCTATACTGTTTGGTAAATAATTCTGATTTAGTCTAATGATTATCATTATATTCATCAATTTAAATAAACCCTTCATATTTTATTCATATTAAATAATTGATTTGCTATCATTAATCCTGTGGAACGATTTGTACCAAGGTTCAATTACACCTATATAATCACTTTAAACCCTTGTAACTCGCTTGGGTGGATCTCTCTGATAAACTTTGTCCATTCCATTCATGACACATCCTGCCCTGCAGATTGCACGTTCCTAAACTCCCAAGGCAGAGCTGTGGCTCTGCCTGAGCAACTGGTTCAGACACTCACCAATTCCCTTGTGGGGATCAGGAGGACATGAGACAAACTTCAGAACCTCAGCCCGCTTCTCTCGCAGACCCCAGCGATAAAGGATTTCTCCATAGCACTTCTTAAAATCATCAAATTGCTGAGTGTTAGCAGGATCCAGCAGCCTAGAGGAACAAACAGGCTTGTAACTGACTGACTCTCAGAGACTTGGGTTGCAATCCTCTTTCCTGTGATAGCTATGCAACCAGCTCACATTGCTGGAAATACAGCAGGGCACTTCCCACAGGTTGCTGAAACATTGCTGAACACAAACTGCTCTGGCCTAGATTTGTTCTACACTCCAGGGTGCACACTCCATGGGTGGACTGTCCTTTGGTACCCCCACCATGGCCTCTTAGGGATGCATCATGTGTAATCCCAGCAGCACTGACCTGCAGGATGAAGCTTCTTCAAGTAATTGTGTGAATGACAAGGTCCAGGGACAGGTGTGGTACTGCACAGCACCAAGAGACCTGGCCATGGAGTTCCACATGACTGAGACACAAGTAAGGCATCTCTGAATACCCCCAAGGCATGTGATAACCTACCTTTTGTTTTTCTCATGCTGGTCCTTCTCCCTCTCCCGGGGATCAGGATATGTTAGGTTTCCGTAGCGGAAGTCATCTGGAGAAGACTCGCACCAGGGAGTGGAGGTCTGCTCTGTGTCTTTGTTTGCTGCAAACACCAAGAGGCTGTGAGTGCATCTCCCCCCTCAAAACTGCAATCAGGAAGGGACATGAAAGACCACAGGTTGC